TTGTGGGATGTGGGATTGCAGGATGTGGAATCCCAGTATAGAAGGGGGCTGTTTCAGGTGCACAGGTTTCCTCTCTATTTACTTCCCAGCTGTCACATTCCCTTCTATTTCTGCATTCTTTTACCTGCAACCACAGCAGAAAGAGCTCTGAAAACGAGCAGAGAAAAGTGTGTGTGTGTGTGTGGGGGTAATAGCTTGCTTTTCTGGAGATTCAGGAGAGTGTTGGAAAGGTGGAGGGCATTGAGAAGATAGCCAGGCTGCCGCAGTAGTTACAGGGCTGGCCTGGGGACCCGCATGATGTGGGTTCTAGTCCCTGCTTGGCCATGAAGCTCCGTGGGAGACTTTGAGCCAGTCTCTCACTCTCAGCCAAACGTCCTCCCAGGGCTGTTTTTGTGAAGATAAAATGGAGCTATGTAAGCTACCTTGAGTTCCTCACAAGAAGAAAAAAGGTGGGGTATAAATGCCGTGAAGTAATAATAGAGAAGTGTCAGTTCAGCATTTCAAATTGGGGGGATTATATTGCTAAAAGGGAGTTATTTCCCTCCTCCATTTTCCATGCATCATCTTTTACTGTTTTTCCCCTTCATGAGGGCTTTTCAATAGACATCTTGACAACTGGTCCCAGGCAAATGTGTACAAATTAGCCTATATGCAGTCTTACCTTGCCCAGTTCCTTGTTCCTCCTTTATTCACAGCTCCCTTTGACAGCTGAAACATGCAAGGAAATTCACCAGGCAAGGCTACACATGTTAGACAGCCTTAAGAGGGAACTTACGATAGACTGACAATAAGAATGAGGGCGATAGCAGTGTTAGTAAGAAAAACATGTATATTGTTGCGCACTTTTCTGGGGCTAAAAACCTTTTAAAAATTACAACTCCAATTGTGCATTTTTGAGGCTCCAAGGAAACCCACAGAAAACAGCAGCAAACAAGTTGGAAAGGGAGGGGAAAGACAGGTTTTGCCATGAAAGATTCTGGGCTACATGCCAGCTGGAGGACTGAGGAGGAAGGGCAATTGGAGAAGAGAGAGAGAGAGAGTCTTCCGGGCCTGCTGTGGGTTCTGCAAATGGTCAGGCCGCCATGGGTTCTTCACAGGGTGGCTTAGCAGGATGTGCAGACCTGCACACTGGGCCTTGCTCTTGCCTCACATCCGTGGTAAAGGCACCCTCGAAAAGCTTGCAGTGTAGACAGAGTCTTGGGGCAGCTTGTCTGCTATTAGTGATCTTTCCAGGTTCAGAAAATGCTGCCTAAACCAATATGTGGAATAGTGTCCATCAGTTGCAGTAGGATCAGAAAGCTCCCTTGGAAGTAGCTGCAGTATTGAGACTCTGGTTGTCAAGGATTGCATCAAGGCAGTAGCAGAAACAAGTCGAAGTTTGATCTGCCCACAAAATGGGTGTGTCTTGGAATCAGTCAGATGCAGTTTTTCTGTTGGCAGAATCTATGGGTGCATTAGTCAGAATTACATAAATAGAGAGCACTTCATAGTTGCCAAAGGCTCATTGGCTTCGGAGTATGCAAAATTCCTGGGCTTGGAAAACTCTGCTTTGCATATGGACTCTTGTAATACATACCCAGCCTTAAATTGGATTGGCTGAAGCTTGTACCTGTTGCCTTCTGTTTTTCCCTCTAGTTGGAGACTCCTCACTCCCTGGAAGGTAAATAGTCTACAGCAGCCTTCCCCAGCCTGGATTGCAACTCCCATCTATTTGAATATCTGTACAAATATCTGGATGCCTCCATTGCATCTTCTCTTTGCCCCCCAGCAGAGCATTCCAGGATCATCTGGGGGCTTCTGCGTGCTGGCTCCAAGTATAAGGATCAGGGTGTGGGCAGCTAAGGTTGCAACTCCAGGACGAGGGCACACGTGCTGGGCAGAGTCCTGCAGCAGGTTCAGAGGGGCAGAAGCAAGAGGCGTCTTCTTTAACAGTCCAGGGTCAATGCCAGGGAGATGATAGAGCCAAGCAAACACAGTCCAAGATGTCATCATCCAAAGTTCAATCCAAACATCAAGTTCCGGAGATACAGTCACATTCAAGCGCAAGGCAAGGTCAGGCAGGATGAGTGCAGGTGCCTGGGAGTCAGGGTCAGACTGGAGACAAGGGTAGAAACAGGAACAGGCAGGAGCGGACTGGAGCAAGGCTGGAGAGCCAGAGTGCGAGGGAGTCGCAAAGATGGCTTGTGTCGCTGTGGCAAAGAGCAGCAGTGCAGGGAGGCTTCTTGGGCCGGTCTTGAGGCCCTCCGGCTGTTCTGCTCCTCTGCTGTTTCCTGGGAATGCCTGCAAAGGTGTTCCTGCATCTGCAGGCACTTGCAGGCTCTCTCAGGCCCTGATCCAGACACCAAGGACATCCCAGAGCCATCGTGAGACCTTCCGCAAGACATTTGCTAGACACTTTCAGGACAAAATCTCTTGTCTCCATCAGGACTTAGACTTCAGTGTTACTGTCGCGAAGTCTGGTGAGATACCCGGAGCACAGCCTTGTCAGGTTTCTTTGGGTGAATTACAGTTAGCGCGGCTCGAGAATGTTGACGAGGTGCTCGGACTGGTTTGTGCAATCGCATCCGTGCTCAATCCTTGCTCCTCTTGGCTAATAAAAGCTAGCAGAGAAATGCTGGCTGGGCCAGGGAGGTGATTATTGCCTCTTTATGAGAAGGTGTGGTTCCTCCCTGCTGGAAACAAGTGGTGGTGAGACCCCTCCTAAAGAAAGCTTCCCTGGGCCCAGAAAAATTCAATAATTTTGGACTGGTGCCAAAGTTCTTGAGTGGGTGGTAGTTAACCAGTTTCAGGCACTTTTGGATGAGACTGGCTATCTGGATCCATTTCAGTCCAGGTTCCGGCCTGGTTTGGCACAAAAACAGCTTTGGTTGCACTGTTTATGTTGACCTGTGGAGGGGGGGAGAGAGAGGGAGCGTGTCCCTCATGGTACTCCTGGACCTCAGTAGCTTTCAGTACTGTTGACCATGGACAGTATCATCCCGGAGTGACTGTCTGCATTGCAGTGTTCTGCTTCTGCTTGGATGGCAGGCTCCGGAGGGGACATTGCTCTGCCCCTTGGATCCTCCAGTGCAGGGATGCTTTTGTCCCCCTGCTATTAAACATCAAACTCACATTAAACCACTGAGTGAGCTCATCCAGCATTTTGGAATGTGCTGAGGACATGCAGCTCTATTTCTCCTTTTCATCTTCAGCAGGTGAGGCTGTGGATGTGCTGAACTGCTGCCTGGCCGCAGCAATGGCCTGGATGAGGGCTAGCAAACTGAAGCTCAGTCTAGAAAAGACTGAGACGATGATGGCGGGCGGTTCCTCTGACCAATTCAAGGAAATCCAACCTATTCTAGATGGGGGTTGTGCTGCTCTTGAAGAAGCAGGTTTGTCATTTGTGGGTGCCCCTGGAGCCATTGTTGTCATTTGAGGCCCAGGTGGCTTCTGTTGCTCAGAGTGCCTTCTACCAGGTGGCCCCTATCTGGACAGAGTTAGCCTGCTATCAGTGATCTGTGCTTTGGTAATTTCTAAGTGCAGTCCACTCTACTTTAAATCAGATGCATTTCTAAAAATACATTTCTAAAAAACAGGAAGTTCATCAATCTTGTCTAAGGACTGGGCATGGGTTCCGTACTCACCAGTATTATTATTTTTAGTACACTTCTATCCCTCTTTTCCTCTAATGCAGTTCTCCACTCCCATTTTATCTGCGCAAAAACACTACAAGAAAGCTTGGTGGAAAGGAGATGACTCAGAATACGGATCTGAAACTGGATCATCCTAGTCCAGCACTCTTAAAGCGCTACACCATACTGTTTTCAGGTTCTCCCTCACTGTGTGGCGTAGTGGTTAAGAGCCTGGGACTGGGACTCAGACGATCTGGGTTGTAGTCCCTGCTCAGCCATGGAGCCAACTGGGTGACTTTGGGCCAGTCACAGACTCTCAGCCCAACCTACCTCACAGGGTTGTTGTTGTGGGAATATGATGGAGGATGATGATGTAAGCTGCCTTGAGCCCTTTGTAGGAAAAAGGCAGGATATAAATCAAAAAATAAATATAAATAAATATTAAACATGTATTCATGTGCTACAATTGCTTGCCAACCTTCTCTGCCTGCCCGGTCACCTAGCTGAATTCTGGGTGGAGACTCTAATTTGCATGCTTCTCTTTTTTCTTTTCTTTTTTCTTTTTTTGAAAGATTTGGCCATACCCTTTTTAAGATTCCAGGATCTGCTGAGACAGATTTCAGGCCCAATCCAATACATGTTTCCTTGCTGGCTAAGGAACTCTGGGAATTGTAGGTCTTTTTTCCTGTTTAAACATGTTTAAGATTGCACCCTTTTTCTTTTTTCTTTTTCCCTCCAGAAGAGAACAGTAAACTGCTTGTTAAAATCTAGTATATGACACAATGTGGCCTAGAATCTTGCCACAACTTGATACATAGTCTACTAACCTACATATATGTAAATTGCTAGCATTTCCTGGAACAATGCATGATGACACTCCTCTGATGTAGAGATTATTGAGACATCCATCCTAGACAAAGATGACAGGATCCACTGCTTGCAGCCTGGGCTAAACTAAAGATGTGCCACTGGGCTAGGAAGTGGTGACGTACACAGGAGGAGTGTGAAGCTTCTTGTCATGAGTTCTTGGATTGGGGGCAGGGTTTTACCCAGAACGGAAGCCAACACAGCTGTGGGTCTTGGCCTGATTGACACAGTGCTGCAGCCACTTTCATTTTGCAAACTGTTTCAAGATAAGTAAATTCCTGAAATGTGTCAGGCGGTGTGAGCTGTGTTCCTGCGAAGAGGCATGTCTGCCATGGCTTCCTTTTCAGCCAAGTTCAAAGAGTCAATGCAGTGAACGGTCGCTTGTGCTTATTCATTTTCCTGTTTCTACACACCCTTCGGAGGGAAGTTTCCAGTACTTGAGGGCGGGACAGTTTGCTGGCCAGGGAGCCCTCCCACAGAAGACCTATGAATTCTGTTGTCTGGGCTTTGTTTCCCGAGTAGTCCTGGAATCCGTGTGCTTGCTGCAGTGGGACGGCTGTGTTGAAGCACCCGCGGTTTAAGATGCTGAAGACTGAAGTGCGCTTTCCATCCAGCAACTTCTGGGTTTCAGGGTGAGCAATACAGATGGATAGGCAACTTGGCTACTTTTCACGGATGCTTTTGAGCAAGATCTTTAAGATCTTTTTTAAGAGTAAGAATGTCCTCAGTAAGAATGCTTATCATCACCTCCTTCTCATTATTATTATTATTATTATTATTATTATTATTATTATTAATTCAGCAGCAGCATTAGTGGTGTAGGAGAGGGGAAATTGTGCTATTGCGTTCCATTTGACATGCCAGGAAAAGCTGCAGCAGAAATTTGACCTTTAGGTCTTAAAGTTGGCATTGAGCTTTCCTGTGTATGAAAGATTGCACAGTTCTACGTGATAGCTTGGCTTAATTGACTTGAAATCATTTTAATTTCTGAGAATGAAACAATAGTGTAAATCATTAAGAAAAATGGGTCATATCATGTTTTTCTTCTTTTGATAATTGACATATTTTTCAACAACTGTGCATGTAAGTTTATAGAACGATCAAAATACTCTGGGTTTCAGTAAGAGTTTTTCTATTAAGGGCACAATGTGAAATTCTTTGATTAAGCAGTCCTTAACTTAACTTTGTATCTGCTCAGAGACAAAGGGATCAATTGTGGAATTTTCTGTCTGGTTCTCTATACCAAGAATATTAAAATCAGTTGAAGAGTGTAACATTTATCTTGGAGCATGTGCAGCTGAAATCCATGGGTTTACATTTGACTAGACATGAAATCTTGAGCCATCAAGACCCATGAAAATAAATAGAAAATATGGTATGATACTAAGTTGTTTAACTTCAAAAGGTCAGCCCCATGCCCAGTTTATTCTTTTTTATAGAAAAGTGGGCTTTAATTTAGAGGACCATGGAATCTAATTTTTGAAAAAGTATTTGTTAAGGTGCTGAAATTTTACAATATCTTAAGGGAAGTTGTACCCATCAAAGGAATATAGACACAAAACAGGAGCCAGGAACAGTGGGTAAATATACAGGTAAATAACTTTCCATAACCAGTTCAGGTATATTTACAAGATAATTCATGGAGATATTAAGGTGTTTGTATTGCACTGAGTTTCATGTTCAGCTGGGTTAATTTGTTTTAAGCCTGTCTGGAGGAAATGATGTGTTTTAAATCTGATACTTGGCTTGGCTTTGTTTTATGCTTGGTTTTCCTCCCTTCAGCTACCTGTACCTTTTCTGTTGTACCCAGAGCATTTTCATGCTTTGCCTTTTCCAACAACATTAGGCATGCCAAAATACAAACTATGAGCTTGCAAAGCATGGCAGACTGTTCCTCCGCCAAGGATCCTTATCAGAGAACCGGGACTGGGTCTGGCTTGCTCTGGAGTGTTTGCAACCTCAGCTTGTAGTTGCATCATGTGTGACATGTCTGTCTTGGTCCTTCCTTCCCCAGAATACTGGACTCTTTTCCTCACAAGCCCACAATGGCGGTGGACGTGGCCATGCAGCTCTGCCTGCGCACGGCCCCTTTGCGACGAGAGAGCTTCGCCTGCAAGATAGCCCCAAAGCCCAAGAAACCTTTGCGGCCCTGCATCCACTTGAACAGCAGCTCTGAACTGAATGAGCGGGAAGCTGAAATAAAAGCGTTGCAGAAGAAAGCGAAGAAGAAGGTTTCCTTTGCTGACAGCAGGGGCTTGGCTCTAACGGTGGTTAAAGTGTTCTCAGAATTTGACAACCCCCACGATATTCCATTCAATATCACAGAACTAATAGACAACATTGTGGGCCTGACCACAGTGGAGAGAGATGATTTTGTCTTGGATTTTGTACAGCCTTCTGCAGACTATTTAGATTTCCGGAATCGTCTTCAGGCAGATTATGTCTGTCTTGAGAACTGCACATTGAAAGATAAAGCCATCATGGGCACCGTGAAAGTCAGGAATCTTGCGTTTGAGAAGGCCGTGAAGATCCGGATGACATTTGATACCTGGAAAACCTTCACAGACTGCCCATGCCAGTATGTTAAGGACACATATGCAGGTTCAGATAAGGACACTTTCTCCTTTGAGATCAGCTTGCCAGAAAGAGTCCAACCCCATGAAAGGATAGAGTTTGCAGTGTGTTACGAGTGCGATGGCAGGGTGTATTGGGACAGCAACAACGGCCAGAACTACAGGATCATACGGTCTGAACTCAAATCAGCTCGGGAGATTTCTCAGCCTCAGGATGAGCCTGGCTTTGGAATTGCCTTTGACCAGTTCGGAAGCCCGAGGTGCTCCTATGGCCTGTTTCCCGAGTGGCCAAGCTATTCAGGGTATGAAAAGCTCGGGCCCTATTACTGAATCAAAGATGTGCTCTGTGCAATTACTATGCAGGATTCAAATGAAAAAAACTTGGAGGAGTCTGCTGCAGCGTCACAATTGCCAAAGGAGGTATAGTTACAGAAACCGAAAGAAAAAGACTTGTGGAACTCCTGGCTGCCGTGGGCTTAGGAACAGATGGTCTCCTCATTGCCTCGGTTATTATGAACTCAAACAGCTAAAACAAAGGGGAGATGCCTTCCTGGACAGGACCACTCACAGCTTCCGTTCAAGCAGTTCTGCTTACATGTTGTCATGAGGTACCTCACAGTACTGTGAGCTGTGCGGGGAAACTTTTATCTCCCTTCATGTGTGATATTCCAGAGTCTAAATTTGCTACACGTCCCTAAAATGCTATTCTGTGCTCGACAAGGAATGACGGTGGAGAGACTGGCCACTTGGATGTGGGCGTTGCTCATATTTTCCCATTCTTTCCTAAGCACGTTGCCCAGCTGGGGAGACCAAGACTTTCAAATGGAAGTGGCTGGAATTTTAGCTGGAATGATGACTCTGCTTCCTTCCATTTTTGGAAATACCGTCATTTGTGGGATGCTACCAGGCTCACCGTTCTGTCTGAGCGTTTGTAGTTCTAAAAGAGTACATTGTGTTGTGCGTGTGGGTGGGTGGGTGAGAGCGTGTTGCAGCTGCTGAAGTAGAAAGTCTATGTGTAGCTCAGTTATGTAATTGTGTAGTTTCAGTGTAAATGTTTGTTAGGAGAGGTGAGGGACTTGCTATCACATTTAGGTGCCTTGACAATGTCTTTGGGTTGGGAGGTGTGAAGAATAAATATTTCTATTTTTTTAACTCTGACTCTTCATGCCACTATGTTATGTAAGTATAAGTTCCTTTGGGCCTGGTGAATTTAGTTGTCTGATTAGAGAATTTTTAACGAATTATTTTTGTTTCATGATGTTATCAAATGGCTATGAATAGGATGTTACTGACAAAATCGATCAAGGCATGTCCTTTCATAGAAAGAATATCTGTGGCAGCCAATTTCATGCACGGCTGTAGGTGGGACCTAGTTCAGTAGCAGCGTTGTATGCCAAAGCTCCCCAGTTCAGTCCCCGGAGTCTCCAGGTAGGGCTGAAGCAGGCCATTACCTGAAATCTTGGAGATCAGCTACCTGTCGCAACAGATGGTCCCTGGCTTAGCTGAATAACATGGCCTGGTGCAAAACAGCTTCCCATGTTCCTGCAGTGTGGGAAGAAGAGGAGCGAAGCAGCAGGGATAGCCAAAGAAAGGAGATCATCCTTGCCCCAAAGCAATCTAAATCATGACTGCTGGTTTTCCCACAAAGTTCCTCCTTGCTTCTCTTCCTGGCATTTTCAGCCCAGTGCACAGCTGCGGGGAATTACAGTGATTCACCGGGATGCTGCGCTTAAGAGGCGTCCGTGTAACTTCTTGAACACAAAAGGAAGCCTCTCACTGGAAGGCTGACCCAGAGTGGCATCGGGGTGCAGTGGCGAGGCCAGAATGCGCCTGCCCTTATCCCTGCTGACCTTGAGGGAATGACTGGACAACTCAGAACATCTGAAAGAGATCAGCACGGGTGGAGGCTTGCAGCTTAGGCACAAGTGAATCGAAACGGTGTGGAGAATCTGGATTTGGAAGGGGACGTGGAGGAGCCTGAACAGTGCTGTCCCTTGTAGATCAGCGGCGGCGGCGAGGCCGGTTTCTGCAAAGGGAGCCTGGTGCGGGCTTGCCTGCTTCATGTGAGGCGAGAGCCTTGTCTTGGCATGTCAGCTCCAAGTTAAATATGGGAAGGGCTCCCCATGTGCCATTACTAACTTCTTTATAATGCTGAAAAGCCAGCACTTCCTTATCTCGCTGTAATGGGCCATGTCATTTCATTTGTTCAGTTTGCATACATTGAACTTGAATTTGTACTTGGCAGGAAAAATGAGCTGTTGAACACCTGCAGATTGGCAATTCCAGCATAAGTACCCAAGTGAGGTGATGCCTCAAAGAAAGGGATCCCTCCAGAGTTGCACTCTGGGGGCCTCAGGCCACATCCGGCTCCCTGGGAGGTGACACTTCCATCCTAGTTGGCAGGGGGCTTTCCCAGCAGGCTATTCGAGCCCCCAGCCACCCTAATGCGTTAGCTTACCCTTTCTGTTATGGGAAGGTGGTCCTGCTGGATAGTTCAAAGTCTTAACAGAGTGACAGAGGAAGCGATGGACTTCCCAGAGGTGCAGATGATAATAAAGTGGAGCCATGAGCTTTTGCTGTTAGAGTAAATGGTTGCAGCCTTTACAGCCTTTGGGTCGGATCCAGAACCGTCATGCCACCTGTGGAAGGATACTGCTGGTAAAATGACATTTCCCGTCCTCTGTGCCCCAGTGCACCCTCCACTTCTGGAGAGTGGGGAGGCTGGAGCTGAGGAGACATGACAATTCTGCATCCAAATGTTTAAATGCAGGGACTGGGCCCTCCAGATGTTTGGGGCTACAGGTTGCACCTTCCTGGTGGGAGTTCCAAGCAAAAACATGTGGAGAGCCACAAGTTGCCCTTCCCTGCCTTAAGGGAAGAAATACAAGCATGATCAATGCAACCTGTTGGAATTAAGGCTGCAACTCTGCGCACTCACTAGGGACTGAACGTAAACTTAGCAGGAGATTTGCCATCTATGAATAGGGTTACACACAGAGTGGAAAAATAATGTAAAATCAATGTTTGAGATTGCAGCTACAATGATTACAGAACCCCTGTATAAAACAGTTTCATCCCCTCGCATATTCAGGAAACAGTCACCTTAACAGTCATATAAGAAATCCTCACCTTAGCAGGGAAAGTATGCCTTTTTTGCACTTTACGCTTGAGTAGAAGTCATAAATGCAAACCCCCAACAAAGTGGCAAATTTGAGCTGTCTGTAATAAATGCCAAATGGATGCCAAATGATTTAGATTCATTCAAGGGGGAAAACTGAGTTGCAATTAACCAATAAGCTCATTTCTTGGATTCGAGGCTTTACCCAGTGAGCAGGCTTTGAATTATGTGCCATCTCCTATCTATGGGCCTGATGTGAGGATGGGTCAAAAGTAGCCCTAATCTTGCATGTCCTGACTATGCTGAGTCTCTCATGTGTGAAGCCAGGCTTAACGCTGTAGGCCCAGCTCACATGATCTCCTTCCTGCAGGTAAAACTAGCATTCTGGGGAACTGGACCCAGGACTGCAGTAACTAGGGAAGCTATCTGGAAGTGAAGAACTCCAGCAAAACTAGTACAGAAATCAGTTTGGCTGTTCATTTCAAAGGTTAGAATCCAGTATTTTCCATAATTCGATGCTTCTGTGGCTCAGAATGATTGGTAGCATGTGGAACTGGTTTCAGGTGACTTCAGGACAGTAATTTATTGTGAAATTATTCTAAATTGTGCCTCGAGGGGTGAGGATGATTGCAGGCTTCGCCAAAGCCTGCTGGCGTGTGTATGTGTGTGTGTATGTGTAACCTGCTAGGCAGTGGCTAGAGATAATACTGTGAAACGTAAACCCGGAACAGTTCTCCCAAGCGCACTTTCATTTCAGCTCTGTTACTCATTTTTAAAGCCAACTGCTTGGACCTTTCCCATCTCTCTTCTCAGTATGAATGTAACTGGGGAATAATATTTTTTATCTTTCATTTTATGCTTCAGAGTGCCTTGCATGTTTTAAAATATTTTGTACACAACTGAAAAATGCACTTTACAATCACAGTGGGTTTCTTTTCTGTAGTGTTTTCTGAAATATCACCTTGGTTTTGTTTTTATTTGACATCAAATAATAAATAAAATGTTACAAAGAAGCACAGTGTTTTGTTTGGAAGGACTCTGGCGCAGTGGGAGAGCATGTACTTCACACCCAGAAATCAGCTGGGCTGGAGAAATTCCTGCTTGAACCCTGGAGAGAGACTGTCAGTCAGAGCTGACAATACTGGGCAAGATGGACCAATGGCCTAACTCATTGAAAGGCAGCTTCCTCTGTCTGTCTTGGCTAGGCTTTGTTAAAGATCTAAATTGAAGGCTTGATGGTAGAGGATACATTGGGATTCTTCTGAGGTTGGTCCTATTGGAGGGAAAGAACACCGTAGACAACATGTATTGGGGGACAAATTAACAGTGCAGTGGACAGATAGGCTCAGAAGCGAGTCCCTTGAGTGCAATAGGGTTTACTGTCCAGTAACTGTATAAGATTACATCCCATGTCCCCAGTTGGCTGCACCTAAGTCCCATTGAATTCAGTGGGACTTAATTTTGAGTCGACGGCTACAGGAGAGTGCAGTAAACTAAGCCCCATTGTTGTAAAACAGGTGTCTCTTCTAAGCGCAGATGGGCAGCTACTGGTCGTGATCATGAAGTGTTATGTGACTCTACAAAACTGCTCCAAACTTTGACCGGTTTCATTTGCAAGGAGCAGAAATAACTCCATTTGTTGCTCCTGCTGTTAAATGGCGCGGCCAGAAGCGCAACCCCCCGTGTGTTTAACCTGCTCCTACAGAAGCACACCAGCCCGCCTTAGGTGGGACTTACACCATTGGAAGAACACAGGACGGCAGCCACCGTTGCTCTTCCTCGGGTTGGTCTGAAGTAACATGGCCAGTCAGGCCAAGAGCCCATGCTTCACGGCCGTGCAGTCCTCAGTGGTGCAATCTTCCGTATGGAACTTCAGCTTAAGAAATCCGGTGGTGCTGGACGAATCTGCTCCTGAAAGATGCTTATTTATTTATATTTATAGGCCGCCTATAATTGCCGAGGCCTTCCTAGGCGGCTTACAATGTCAAACATAACAAGAGTAAAAACACATTAAAAACCAATCAAAACATAATAAATTAAACATCTATATAAAAAAACAAAAAGGGCCACAGCATACAGGATAAACGTTAAAAAAATCCATAAAAGATACATCTTTGCCTGATGCCGAAAGGAAAATAGAGATGCCGCCAGGCAAATTTCCCTAGGGAGGGAGTGCCAGAGATGAGCAGCAGCAGCAGAAAAGGCCCCTGGCCTAGTTGCCACCCTTCTCATCTCCCTGAGGGGTGGTTCTCGTAAAATCCAGCCAGACGACATCCATTATTGGGCTCCCCAGAAATGGAATAAACGGACTTCCAGAATACAGGACCATATCAGAGGGTGCTTCCAGAGGGAAGCTGCCAGGCAGAAGCCATTACGCAGCTATGCCATTTCTGCCTTATGTGTTGTTCAGAAAGGAGATTGATAAAGCAGCGGGGAAACGGGAGGACCACACGCTGAAGACTCCTAAACACAGAACAGCTTGTCGTTTCCGGTTTTGATACTCCATTTTCGATCATTGTGTTCCCTGGTGCCTGCATGTTTCTGCAGGTAGAGACGACATTCCATCCCTTTCTTATATTCCGTGCAGCTTGGCTGGAGTTGGAGAAAAATGAAGGGGCTTGTGGGTAGGTGGGCTGTTTTTATCAAACAATAAAAGGAGATACAAGATAATTTCCTGCTGTGAAATATCGCCCTTTGAAATTGCCTGGCACGGGAGTGTGTGTGGTGCTGGAGCTCGGATCGCAGAGGCACCTTGCTGTAGGCGCACCATTATTTTGTCAGCCCACCATGTATAAATTATAGGAGTGGCTGGGTGGTGGCGAGGAAATGGAGTTTCCTTGCTTGCCCTGAGGGCAGGGTGCACCACAAATCAAAATGCAAAGACAAAAAGATCATCAGGTGCAGATGGTGGGCTTCCAGTAATACGTTGTGCTCCCATGAGTGCTTATTTTAATTGTGGGGCAGAGAGTGAAAGTACAAAGCAGCTTGTGTTCTGGAGCTAAACATGAAAACACAGATTAAATCTCTGTCCAGACATGAAGCTCAACTTCTCCTGGGTACAGCCTCCTCTTGCAGCCTATTCTACCTTATAGGGTTGTTGTAAGTATAAAATGCTGGAAGTGTTGAACTTTGACAAGGCAGGCACAGGATCAAATGCCCCTCCCCCCCATTCGACATGAGACTCAGTGCATGAATCTTGGGCCGGTCATCGTCTTTCAGCCTAAGCTACAACACAAAGTTGTTGCGAGGAAAGAATAATGTGGGAGAGGAATGCCCTCCATGATCGCTGAACTTGCAGCTGAGCTCTGGTGATGCTCAGGAAATGCAGAAGATTTTCCCAATGGCAAAGGCTTCCCAAGACCATCCAGCCTGATTCCTTGGCACAAAGCAAGGTTGAATTTCTGGGACTTGCCTCCAACGGAAGTCTTACCTCTTAGGCACATGTGTGCACAGAGAGAGTGAGTTTTGTGTTCTGCATCTGTGAAACCATGGACCCTAAACCCCAGGGAAAATTTGAGGGGACGGGGTGGGATTTGCCGGAGCCGCAGTGAAAATTCTCCGGTGTTGTGACTGTGTGGGCGCAGTTGGGAGCCCCCTGTGTCCAACTCACAAGTTCTCACATGACTTCTGTGATCTTCCAGTACTGACGTCAACATGTGCCAGGTTGTATACACAGGACCTGCTTGAAAATTCACAGAATGCTGTGAGGCTTCACCCCATTCTCGTATCGGGTGATGTAATCTGGACTACCCACATGTGAGGCTTAATTTGTGCCAGGATTTAGACCTGGCAAATCTTCACAGCCAAGGCTCAGCCCTCAGTCACCTGAGGAAGACATGAGAGCATTCCTGGACAGGGCTCTTCATATTCCTACAACCCCGGTGGACCTGGGGTAGGACATGTAATTTTTCTTTTAATTGGCTATTATAACTTGTATTCCCTGCCTTGCCAGTTTCTAAAAGCTGTGATTGTCACCATGACCAGCTGGGGCAGATGGCCTCACACTTTAGAAGTTACATGTACCTTAGTCCAGGTGCAATGCTGCTTTGAATAGTACCTCTCCAATGCAAAGTCTATGAGTCCATGAGTCTTATCAGGAAGCGACCAACAGGGATCAAGCAAACGAGCAATGCACCTCTAGGTTCCGGACTGAGTTTGAACCTCACAAGCAGTGCTGGCTCCACATTCTGAAGGCCCGGGGACAAGGCATCCTGCAAAGGCCGCCTTCCCAGTTACTCCAGCTTCCCACTGCATCCTGGTGCTCATCTTTGCTCCCACTTGCTTGCTGAAAGGGCAGGCAGCCAGCAGCAAGGGGGCAGTCACACACCCTGCGCCCGGGTCCAAGTGGGCAGCAGCTGATCAGGCAGGTTGCGAAAGTCAAGGGGACAAGCGACTCCGAGGGCCGCTCATCGGTGGGCCCACCTCAGGCGTGACCTTGGGCAAGTGCCCGGCCAGGCTGACCTGTGGCACTTGGTGTCCTTGGCAGCCCCTGCAGGCAAGCCTGAAGAGCACCCATGTTTGCCCCTCCAGGCTGCTTCCCCCGCACGGTGCAAGAGATGGCTGGAAACAAGGCATGTCCCAGCTGGCAAGAGACACGGAGTCCCGCCTGGGAACATTCCCTCCCTTGTGTGTTAGGTAGCTGTGCAATCCGGCCGGCACCTACCGTCTGGAGCCTTGGACCTGGCAGAGCTGCAGCCCTCCAGGCTCTCCGGGGCCAGGGAGCAGCTCCCCGCCCATCCCCTCGCACTCTGGTGTCTGGGTCACGTGAGGACAAATATTTGCAAACTCCTCACAGGGCGTGCTGCGGGGGGGGGGGGGAGGGGGGCAGGGAGCAGGAACATCAGGCCCCAGTGTTGCTCTGGGAGAAGTAAGGGCGGCTTTTTCCATGGATTTTTTGTTTGGCAGTTGAGGTGGGAGACTTGTTTGCAAAAGATCCAAACGGAGCAAAAAACAGAAAAAGAGAGAGACCCACACAAATGATGAAATGTCTCTGAAAAGAAAAGCTCCTTTGCTTGTGTTGGTTTTGCAAACACGACACTTGGCTTTTTCCTCTTTGACGGACGTCTTCCCCACAGGCTGCATTTATTTATTTATTTATTTATTTATTTAAACATTTCTATGCGGCCCCTTGCCGAAGCCTCGGGGCGGCTCACAGCACAAATAAAATACAATAAATACAAAAATAACAATATAAAATTAACAATATAAAATAAATAACAATATAAAAGAAGTCGCCCTGGCCAGATAAATAAGCAAATATTGTTAACAATTAAAATGACGTTTAAATAAAAAGGTCTTTGCCTGGCGCCGAAAAACAAATAGCGATGGCGCCAGGCGGACCTCTCTGGGGAGTGCATTCCATAGATTGGGCGCCACCACAGAGAAAGCCCTCCTCCGAGTACTCACCTCCTGATTTCTTTCACGGAGGGTTCCCGGAGAAGGGCCTCTCCCGCAGATCTCAAGGGGCGGCCGGGCGTATATGGATGTAAGCGCTCCTTCAGGTAACCAGGACCCAAGCCGTTTAGGGCTTTGGCATGCCAAGCCACCCCACAATTAAGTTAGGGGGCCATTGGGCTCGCCATGGCTTGTTCTTCCCCTCCAGCCTTCAGGCAGCATCCTGGCATCCAGGGGGCCAATATCACCCTTTAGCAATGCCACCCTTTCGATGCATGGTGTTGAATGGGCGCCCTCCGCCTTTCAACATGTCCCCAGGTCTCTAGTTAATGGCCACACACACTTCATGGCTCCTTTTCCGAGCACTCACCACTGCCGCTATCACAGTTCCCTGACAAATAAAAAGCCACCACCCAGAAATACCATGGCAAGTTAATAGGTGGGGATTAATAGGTGGGCAGGGGAAATCTGTGCAAATTGCACTGGGGGGAGGAGTTGCAAGGCTCTGCCAGGACAGCGTATAACGCAGTGGGGACTCAGCCTCTGCTCAGACAGCTGAAAAAGTCATCTAGGAGTTTTGCAGGGTGGGAGAAGTGCAGAGGGGGGCCCTTTTCCTTCA